CCTGACAAGGTAGACCGGAGGCCACTGAAGGGGCTTCCGGGGTCCAAGGGCGGGGGGTGGGCAGGACACCCAAACGTGTTGTCCTGAGTGACGGCCCGGCAGTGGCAGCTAAGGGGATCCTAACCCTCTGAACGTCATGTTTACAGCCTACCAACTTCACCAACCCGGTGTATGCCACGCTCTACATGGGGGGTCACGGCAGCCGCCACTCCCTGGCCAGCACGGATGAGAAGCGAGAACTCCTGGGCCGGGGACCTGAGGACGAGATAGGGGACCCCTTGGCATAGGACCCTCTGCCCCCAACGGACGTCCCCAGAAAAGCCCCTGCCAGCCGAGTCCTTCAATGAGCCCCCCTCCCCCAGCCAGCCCTCCCCCGGCCCTGCCGGATGTACAAATGTAAAAATGAAGGAATTACTTTTTATATGTGAGTGAGCAAGCGAGCACAGTATTATCTCTTCCATTCTCCTTCCTGCTCCTCAGCATCCCCCCACCCCCCACCCCACGCTGCCTTGAGGGGGCAGGGAGAGCCCTGTGGCTCAGAGGTATGAAGGAGCCCACCTCCGTTCCCTACCAGACACATGTCAGGGCCTCTCGTCCCAGGTTTCCCCTCCTCAGCTCTCTGGGGGTTAGTTCTGGGGAGGTGGAGTCCCCCGCCGACCCTGTCTGGAAGATTTGGCTTTGTGAGGTAGGAAGAACGGAGTCCTTCCTTGAGGGACGTCCGCCCAGGCCCTGGCTCCCACTTTTGGGCACCTCTGAGATGGCCTTGCTCAGTGTTCCCTCCAGACAGGCCCTCCCCCTCCAGTGCTGGCCCACTGTGGCTCCTAAGGCTGTACACATTCTTTGGTAACTGTCCCCCAGCTTCTGCTCCCGAGGACCAGGAAGAGGTGGGGTATACCAAGGAAGGGCAAGCGGGCAGCCCCATTTTGGGGACGTGAACGTTTTAATAATTTTTGCTGAATTCCTTTACAACTAAATAACACAGATATTGTTATAAATAAAATTGTAAAAAAGAAAAAAAGAAAAAAAAAAAGAAAGAAAAAAAAAAAAGCCACTGTGTCTGGTACCTGCTAGTGTGAGCGCTGTTCGCTTGCTCAGCCGCCAGAGGGAGCCTTGCTGCGTGCTGGAGGCCAGCCTGAGAACCCTGAGGTCACCGTCTCCAGCCTCACGCCGTCCTCCAGCCTCTCTATGGCAGGAGGAACTGTTTTCTCTTGGTGTGTGACCTTGAGCCTGTAGCTTATGGTGGTTGGATCTGGTGTTCCCCCGGCCCCAGCACGCCGACCTGGAGATCTGACCCCCTTTCACCGTGCACCTGTCCCCCACAGTCCCCCCACGCCAGAAGAAATGAGGGCATTGGGTCGTGAAGGCTTTCCAGACCTTCAGGATGGTCGGCTACAGCTCTCTGCTCTCAGCTCCCTCTGAAATGTTGACATCTCACTCTATGGTGAAGCCATGAGTGAAACCATGGCTGTAAGGCCAGGAGGATGCTACCGTGGGGAGAGAGCCCTCGCTCTGCAAGCCTGATGACCAAGTCTGATCTTGGAACCCATGGAAGAGTGAGCAAAAACCAGCTCCATAAAATTGTTCTCTGACCTCCATGTATACACTTTGGCACACACACACACACACAGAATCACTTTTATTTTTCAATTAAAAACCTGAATTAGGGGAGGGGGCTAGAGTGAAGGAGTGTGTTTGCCCACCAGCCTCCAGTAAATGCTGGGGCCGTTCCAGGAGTTGACCAGGAAAGGACTGATGCTTTCTAAGTTATTCCAGATCTCCTTGGACCTCTCTCAAAGGGGACTGACGCTCTTGCAGAAGGTTATACAGCTTTGCGCTGTCCAGGACTGAGGGAGGAGGGTTGGGACCCTGTGCCCCCAACAGCAGCGCACACAACGCCTCCCAAAGGAGCAGCCTTGCTTCTCATGCCTGGCCCACACTGGCTCAGCTTCCCCAGGGCATTTTCCCCAGCTTCCTCCCTTGGGGGAGTTTATGGATAGATGCCACGTCCAGAAGCAAGACTATTTTTTTTCCCTCATCCTCAAGACCATCATCTCCAACTTTATCCCCAAAGCCTGCTCTGAGACCTTCCTAGCTTCCTTAGACTCCCTAGGGCCCTGGGATGAGCAACCCGGCGGGGGGGGGGGGAGCGGGGGAGTGTGTGTGTGTGTGGGGGGGTGTCCTTGTTGATCCTGAAGTGATAGGCTTGGGCTCCTTCTGGCCACCAGGTGGCATATGGCATATACACTCCGGCGGCAGCTCGGCTTCTCCTCAAGCTCAACACACTAATTATGCACCTGCCGCGGACCCTAGCCCATCCTCTCACTTCCTTCCCTGAGGCGATTCTATGCTGACCCATCCACCCTCTGTCAGCCATCTTCCTTTCCTCCCCCAGAGTCTGCTTTTCCCACCCCCTTCCCCAACAGCAGCCCCCCCACCTCCCAGGCCCCTCCTCCTGCCAGCCTGCATCTGGAGCCCCCCGGGAGCCACTGATTCTCTGCCTGTCACCTCAAGATCCTGGGTAGAGCGAGATGGCCCCCAGCTGCGGCTTAGAAAGCACACCCCTTGGTTAGCGCCCGCCCTCCCTCCCTCCCTCCCTCCCTCCCTCCCTCCGCCGGCCAGGACCAGAAGGGTCCACCTGGAGCAGTCTCCCAGCAATCTAGCCAGAAAATGGGAGGGGGGTCTCAAGAACCAAAAAGATACCGAACAGATACACATAGCGGGGTAGAAACCAAGTGAAAGGTAGATTGACAGACGGAGATTCTAGGGAACAGAGGCCAAGACCCAGATAAGCAGTGTGCACGTGTGTGTGTGTGTGTGTGTGTGTGTGTGTGTGTGTGTGTGTGCATGTCGTCTCCGAGAGGATCAGATGACCCGAGATTAGCTAGAACAGTGATGGTGATGGGGGGTCTGGTCCCCTAAAGATGGAGACTTTGGCCGAGGGTTTCTGTCCGGGGCACCTGAGGCATGGGACCACCCTTTGCCTTCATCCAGTACTAAAGCAGGCCGGGCTTTGGACCAGCCCCGAATTCTGGTTGGGGCCTGGCTCCTGACTCGGTGGTCCTGCCCTTCCTCCTTCTGCGGCCAATCGCTGCTTCCTGGTTTTTGTCTCCTTGGGCGTCACTAGGTCAGCCTCGTCCCCTCAGCACCCTGACCTTTCCCTGACCCTCTCTTCGGTGTCTGTCACATCCTATAGGTGGCTGTCTGTCCTTTTCATATTCTTGGGCCTGTCTTCTGTGTGTTGTGGTCTGTGTGTGTGTGTGTGTGTGTGTGTGTTGTGGTCTGTGTGTGTGTGTGTGTGTGTACGGTGATGTGGTCTTATGTGGCATGTGTGGTGTGATCTGTGTGTGTGTGTGTGTATGTGGTGTGTGTATGTGGTGTGTGTGTATGTGGTGTGTGTACGGTGTGGTGTGTGTGAGATGTTGTCTGTGTGTGGCATGTGTGGTGTGATCTATGTGTGTATGTGGTGTGTGTGGTGTGTGTGTGTGTGTGTATGTGGTATGTGTATTGTGGTGTGTGTGTGTGTGTATTTTGGTGTGTGTGTGTGTCCAGCTCTGTGGATGTTTGCCTCTGTCAAGGCAAAAGAGTGCTTTGCATCCCTAGCTGTTTGTGCAGATCTCTGTATGCTCCTGTATGTGCACATCATGTGTGTCCATCTGAGTGTGCCTGTGTGTCCCTGTGTGTGCCGGCCTGCGTGTGAGTGTGTTTTGCTCTGTGTGCACTCACTGCACATTCAGGCTGCTGTGAGCGTGGTGTGCGCCTGGAGACCCACCTTGGGGTGTGGGCCTGTCTCCTCCTCTCTGCTCGTCCCTGTCTCTTGCTGTCTAGGTGTTGGTCATGCTACCACCTCAGACTCCGCCGCCCGCCCGCCGCAGCGGCGCATAGCAACAGCTGACAGCTGAAGACTCCCCGGGCAGGGCAGAGAGACCGGCGGGAGGAGGGAACGGATGAAGAAACAGCCCGAGGATGCGAGCAGAGACCGAGCTGGGGACAGAGACAAGGACAGGGATAGATGGCGGGGACAGGATGAGAAGAGCTGGGAGTGGAAGCCGGGACGGCACCAGGGGGCTGGGCGGACGGCACTGAGGACTTCCTGCCCAGCCCCCACGGGAGGCTGCCCTGGGCTGGGCAAGGGTCAGCCGTGCGGGGCCAGCCAGGGGCAAACTTGAAAAGAGCCGGTCTAGCCAAGGGGTCCCGAGGCCGCAGAGGTGCGGTGGGGCGGGGGCGGGGCGGCGGGCGCCGTTTGTCAGCCCTATTGACAGACGTGATGGGGTTTCCGTCCGTGATCAATGATTCTCATCTCCGGGCCGAATGAGCCGCGGGGCGCCCATCCATCCCCGTCAGCGCCACGCGCCGTGGTAGCCGCCCGAGGCCCCGCCAGCCCTCACCTCCCCGGCCCCTGTCCCGCCCTCTGCACGGGACCCACCTGGGCCTGGAGCACAGAGGGGACCCCTCCGCCCCCCCGGATTTCCGCAGGAGCCTGGTCCTGCCGCGCCCGCCACCGCCGCCGAGCTTGGCGGGACCCCTGTTCCACGACGCCCCCCTTGGCGCGCACAGTCCCGAGCCGGGAGCCCCACGCCCAGGCAGTCCCAGCCCTCACCCTGCGCCCAGACCTGCCTGGCATCTTTGGGGTGCCGCTCCCCTCCCCACCCCACCTCCCATCCCACCCACCCACCCCAAGCCCCTCCGACCCTCTCCGGCTTCACACCTGAGCCAGGGGCGTGTCCGGGGCGTGTCGCGGTGAAAGTCACCTTCTGTGGCCCCAGCTGGGCGGGAGGGGGCGCGCGGGGCGCGGCCGGGATTGGAGCACCGCGGAGCCCCG